GCTCTTCTCCTGCAGACAGCTCGAGACCTACAATGGCACCTTTGAAGGATGATTTCCATGCCCAGTAGTTCATAGGTTGGTCATCAAAATTTGTAAGGCCGGAAGTTATTAGCTGACTGCGAGCTAGGTATTTGGCAAGGTCATAAGTAGGTTGAGTTGGTACACAGATGCCACCTACCGGAGTGGCGGTGTAATGTGTTGAATTCAAGGGAGCAAATTGAGATGCCGTCATGTTCCTAGGAGGTTGAAGAAAGTTTTTTGTGTCATCTGAGGAGGTGTCTTTTGATATGTTATCTTGCTGTCTGATGACACATTCATGAGGGTGTGTTGGGGTGATATCTTCAACTTTTGGTTGTGAAGGCATCTCCATTTTGTTGATGGGTGTTTGTTCTAGGACGTATTGAGCAGTGCGTCGTTCTTGGCTTTCTCTTAATGAGATGTCGGCTTCGCTGCGTGTCTCTAAACCCAGTTGAATCAGTCCAGCTTCTAGTGAATTAGCCTCTGCAATAGCAGCTTCCTTCTCTTTCTCAGCTTGAAGTGCATCGAGAGTGGCTTGAAGGCGGGCTTGCTCCACTTTAATCTGTATTTCTTTCAGAGCGTATGTGGCTCTGGCTTGAGCTCCTTCAGCTTTCGCTTTAGCTCTTAACAGTTCCATACTAGCTCTGGAGCTGACGGTGGACTGTGACTTTCTTGAAATAACTGATCGAGTCTCAGTTATTTGAGATTTGCTTTCAGCCATTTGAAGAGATGCGATCCCTATGGTGGAAGGTCGATCTGGTTGAGGTTCCTGTAGCACTTTAGCTTAGGTATTGCAATGGCGAAGCTCCGTGCGAAGGCCTCAATTATTTTTTCCTCGCTGTGATGCCATCTTTTCACTGTATAGGCCTCGCCAGCCGAATGACACCAGCTATCCAAACAGCTAAACAGAACGAATGCAGAAACTCCACTGACTCAGGAATGACGTCTTGAAGTATTTACTGACATCAATTTTCTGTGAAACTGTAACAGGATAACAAAGAAATACATATAAGTGTTGTAGCTGTAGTAACAACGTCAAAATCACTACATACACCGTCTATACATAGACTAGTGGTCCGAGTTAGCTAAGCATCCGGTCGAATTTACTTCTAACAGAAAAATACATAATTTCTCTACAAATGAAGATGTCTGCGATAACTGTTCTAATATGTAAATAATTCAACTTATAATACTTACAGATGATGCTTTAGCGAGCAAGAAAACAACGTAAGCAGGACTGAGGAACTGCCATGCGGCTGAAACTGTGCTGTACTTCCTGTTTCTATTTTCCCTACTGCTTTTGACAACTACAATGAATGACCACTAGATGGCATTGTTTAGCACAAATTAGATAACAACTAAACAGTGAACATAACACTCCGGTTTCTCCAACAGAGGTCAGATTTTGAACAAAGACATCATGTTTTTTTTTTTTTTGTTGTTTTTTTTTAATACAGTCTTTTGCTTTTTTACCAAACTTTGTTACTAAAAACTGATTTCCATGTTTTAGGTACTATGTAAAGCAATCTTTGCTAATAATTAGAAATTAACATTTAACTGACTGATATAACTATGAGAGAAATGGAAGCTTGCAAATGAGTCTCTTAAAAAAATACTTTTTGTGCCACAAATCTTTAAATTAAAAAAGACTCTTTATAATTAAATTTATTTTATATGGTTATATTTTAAAAAATGACATTTTTATCTATCTTTAAAACTGTTCTCAATTTAAAATTAGTTACTGTCTGTGTTAATTGAACAAAAAGTGCCTCTGTAACAGTAATAACTCCATTCTAAAAATAGAATGAAATCTGACACCTGGCCACTCAAACACAGACTCCTGGCACGTACCTTTGAGTTGTGAGCAAGAGATTGCAGTTAAGAGATTCAAGACACAACCGGGACTTTCTAATCCCACCTGAGTCATTAATTCAATGTTATTCACGGCGCACTCCGTCAGGGTTCTCCATTTGCCAAGCAGGTCAACATGCATACTAGCGGGTTTCGCAGGGCTTATCCAGCAACTCTACATCAGGTCCAGTGAGCCAGTCGAGCTGGGTTACGATGAAAGATTTTATGCCTGCAAAAAAAAAAAAAAGTCCACAGCGACAGGCAAAGAAACAGGAATCCTCTTAGTGGGAATGTCCTGTTGTGCTCCTCCATCTGTTGTTCTGTTACGGCCGACATTCTGAATGGAGAGACGAGAAAGAAAGATAAGGAGGCAGGTTGTGTTTAGTAGTCTGGTGCTGTTCTGTCAGACTTTAATCATGCTTGAGTTCAGCTTTGTTTGCAACAATCATAAGACCACGGCATCTTGGTATGCTTAAATGATTCGTTAGAATTTTAATTTTTATGCATTTAATTATAATGTCTATGTCTTATTTTCTTATCTAATGTTGTATTTTCCATAAATGCAGTTAATTCTAGATATTTAAATACATGTATAAAAATAACTTTATTCCTTCTTGTCTCACTTTTAATCAGACTAAGCTTTTCCTGTTCTCAATCAAGTAGGATTAGCAAAATTATTTCACACACTGAGATGTGGGCTTAGTGATGTCCACTACAAAACACTGACTTTGTTGTCCTTGAGCAACTTTGTAATTAAAGTGGTGGGATACTTTAGGTAGCTGTCCATTTACAACGGTCATTGATCTATAAACCTTGACTACCTGGCTAATGTCTTGAGATGTTGCCTAAATGTTTCTACAAGGTTCTTTTCACAAGCTGACAGCTATATTTTGAAGTGGATCGTTACCTCCCACAGCTGAACCCCCACATGACATGATGCTGAAAGCCGTGTACTTTGCCTTTAGGATTGCGTTTTCAGGTTTAATAACTTCTCCCTTTTTTTCTAGATGTAATAATTTAGTTGAACACTTTCGTTTTGATTTAGTCAAACCAAAATTTTGTGAATTTACTAACTGTATTCTGTTTTTTATTTTTTTTTTGTTGTTGTTGTTTTTGGAATAATGGCTTCTTCTTCTTTGAGTGGTGTTGCAGCCCATATTGGTACAGGAGTGATTTCATTGTGGCTAATGATACTTTATACCAGCACCTTCACAAGATCTTAACACCAACACATGTTCATTTCTGGGTCTGTGATGTGTTTGTTTACACAGTGTGGATAAAAGCTGTTTCAACTGTGTGTGTGTTTATTTGAATACTACTTTAACAATTTAATACTAATTCATATTTTCACACAATAGCAATTCACCAATTAAACATTTTAACTGAACAGTTTAGCATAAAACGTTGTTACATAATCTTTTCTTTTTTTCAGATTGTACTTCATTCAACAGAAACTTTTTGTGGTCTATGTATGAGATATAGAACATAGAAGAATAAGACGAAATTCCATAAGTTCAAGGCAAATTCAAGGACTTTTTCTAACACCAATTTCAGGGTTCCTTTTAATAAATAATACCAGTACTGGATGACTCCCGTCTGACTCTGCAGATCCTCAAAAAGCCTTACAGTCAGCTAAAACAGTAGTGGCATCACCTTAAAAGTGAAGGCTTTTATAAATTTAAGTTGTTCCCATTAACATTAGGAAGCCTGTGGTAGCTTACACATTAGAGTATGAAGACTGCAACACATGTTGGCTTCGGCACAGTTTGAAAAAATTAGCTTTGGTTTGGAGACGAAAGCCACAATGTCAACAGTATGCTGCATCATCACACAGCAACAGATTTATGCTTGTATGTTCATAACTGTTTATATAATTTAGGAGAGAGCTTAAAGACATGTCTGCATCTGAAACCAAAGCCATGATTAATATCAGCCATTTAATCAAAGCATTTATTTTGTCATGACTGTCAGATGAATTATGTTTTACAAGACTTCATTTTTACAGCAAGCTTGCCTGGATTTATTGCAATGATAAAAAATGTTGTCTGTCCTCTGAAAGAATTTCCGTTTAACTGTGCCAATGGTCCCATGTAAACCAAAGACAACACTGACTACAGTCTTCCTCTTTATCATCTTATTTTGTTGGAGAGAAATATATCTGAATTTGAACAGGGAAGTGAATTTACTTCAGTGGGAGCAACTCCTTGCAGGTCCTGGCAGTTACTAGTAAAGTGTCTACCGTGTCTGTAAAGTTACCTTAACAAGACAATAAATGAATGCCTGCCAAGACTCTTGGTCTATTTAATTAAAGCTCAAGCAACTTAGTGGGATTGAATTAAATTTTTGGCAGGGGTAAACCAATATGCTGGGAAGGTGGTGGAGGTTAAGTGGAGTGCAGTGGGGTGAGAGTCCACTTTTTATTTTCTTTCACTTGCATGGTTTTTGTAGGTAACACTTGTGCCAGATGGTTTAATCATGTCAGCAAAAATACAAGAATACATTTGATACATTTCAAACCTGAATTATCAAAGATAAGTTATATTACCAGTTTAACTAAGTAAATCCAGCTGATTCTGCTGTCTGCTCATGAAGACGTTAATCCACATACAGAAGTATCATTACACAAGTCTTTAGCTTTTTTTTCCATCAAGAGACAGGCATCAGCAATGACATCATTTATAAGGAGCAGGCCATTTTCTTTTATTTCTGTTACTGTCATCTATTTCTAAAGATGATTGAGTACTAGACTTTTCCAGAAGCCCTTTAAGACTTTGCATGAAACTGATACACTGATGGCCTGAAGTCAGTTCATTTCAAATTGAAGCTGGGGTCCAGTTTTTGTCAATTAAAGGTCCAGTCAGAGTGTTAAACTCTCTTGATTCAATTTGGATAGTACTTGATTGGCTTTGGGCCAATACAAGTTGAAGCTGAAGCTGAAGACCAATGGTTTTTATTTTGTTACTTATACAATAAGTAACATAAGTGTATTTCATTGTTTTTTGTTGTTCATTTAATTTTATTTGTTTCATTTCATGAATAATCTAACTCTTCTTAAAGACTATTAATTAACTTTGTGCTTGAACTTTTAATTTTTGTTTTAAAAACAAGTCTGCAGCAAAGTCACCAATTTTAGTAAAATATTAATTAAATAAACAAAGAAAAATATTGCTCCAAATCTCTTATTTGTATATTCCTCTCTTAAATGATGTGCTCTAGGAATGTTCATCCTTTAATCTCTAGGTGGCAGTGTTGATACAAGACCTAAAATAACTAACAAGCAAATACACTGTACACATCAGGTTTGTGTTGCAAGTACTTATTAATACATTTCTTCATAAAGTCATGTTTTCGGAAACAACTTAGTTCTTCATTCTATAGTCTTGCCCTGTGGAGGACATCACTTTTGTTCTATATCATCTAAATTGTGATTACATTTGTTGTTTCTTGTAATGATTTGGGCAGCTTTATGAGAAGTAGCATCTATCCAAATATGTTCACTTTAAATATACTTAATAGTACATAATTTATATTAAGTGGATTAAATCTTTATTAGGAAATCAGGTGAGTGTGATTTGTTTTAATAACCCAATATAAGATCATTTTAAATGCTGATGAAAAAATCTGAAAAGTGGTTTGAACTATGTCATGATTTATCATTAAAATTATGAATTTACTTATTTAGTTTTTTTTATTCAAATTTGTGTGCTGACATTTGTACAAATTTGATGTTATTCAAATTAAATAAAAAATATATATTTTTTAAAACAAGACAGAATTACATGACATAACATTTTCCATTAGCCTGCAGTTCGGTGTTAATGTTGTGATATTGCTTTACACAACACATTGCGTATGGTCATACCATTTTATATGGATTACACTTGTAAACTTA